CACACACACACACACAGGACACGCACACAGCATGAAGGAGAAGAAAGCTGTTGTCTGAGGTTTCTGAATTTAATTTGGTTAAAAACAGATGTTGATAATCTGACGACAACTTAAATATAAATGACAAAATTCAAGGTTTTTTTTGTTTATTTGGATTTAAAAAGACAAACACATTAAAAAAAGAAAATCAGACCTTTAAATAATTAGATTGTATTAAAACTATATTTGACTTTCTAACAGTGTTTTCTGTTAAATCTCAAACTGTAAGGTTTAATCGGGTGACCCATGTTAAATAAAGCTGTGTGTTCCTCTGGTTCTGGTCAGCTGAGTCGCTCCGTCCTCCTCCATCATCTCTGTCGCAGCTGCAAACAACAACAGTGGGCCGAGCCCAAACACTACGACCTTTGTTCTGCAGAAGAAGAAGAGAAAAGGTCCAGTTTCCCCCTCAGAGACGGAGAAAATAACCTCATGACACACAAACACTGAATTTAGTCGGCGCTGACCTCTGTGACCCGTCAGGACTCATTACTGGGTTTAAAGTTCAGCTTCAGCTCTGGACCGGTCACAAATAAATACACTAAGTTACTTTGTAAATTAGTCTGAGAATAAATTCCTACAGAGCAGTTCTCTTTGTTCTTATTAAAGGAGATAAACTAATATATACTGTACATACTTTTACCAACTGGGTAATTCTAGATCAACAGTTAAAACAAAAATAAATGAATAAATGATGGTGTTTTCTTTTTAAATGCAATCTGACGACTGAATGACTTTGTTTATGAAGCTGTTAAGAAGTTATAGTGGTTCAAACAAGCAGAAGAGCAGCTAAAATGACCAAAACATAGGATAAAATGACCAGAAAAGAAGCTAAAATGTCCAGAACATGAGCTAAAACAACAAGAACTAATGCTATAATATAGGAAAAGAGGCTAAAAATGACTAGAAAAGAAGCTAAAATTACAATAAAAGAGGCTAAATGGACTTGAAAAAAGCTGAAAGGACCAGAACAGGAGGTAAATTACCAGAAAAGTAGCTAAAATGTCCAGAACATAAGCTAAAATGACAAGAACTAATGCTCTAATACAGGAAAAGAGGCTAAAATGACTAGAAAAGAAGATAAAATTACCATAAAAGAGGCTAAATGGACTTGAAAAAAGGCTGATTGATTTTCAAAACAAATATCTTTTCTTGCAAATTTGCTTCAGAAAACAAACTTTTTTGTTCGGTTATTTTAATATAAATAAAAACTCAAGTTCCAGATTCAAGACAATTTTAGCTGATGTTATTTTGATTTATTTTTGGTTAAAGTGTTTATCACGTTAGTTTTTCACAATAAAAGCTCATCATTTAGACATTTATCTTCATCAGAACAATTTCTAAAAGAAAAAAGGAAACAAAGAACCATTTTTATTCTCCTGTACTTCTGTAGGAGTTTGATCATGTGGTTTTCTTTCATTCTTGTTCTCTGAGCAGAGTCCTGACGGAAGTGGCCGAAGTGAGCCGAGCCRAACAGAGGGCGTCTGAAGCAGCAGCAGAAGCTGACACACACACTGTTTTCAAACATTTCACTTCAGCAGGATGACGGCGCTCAGCAGCTGGGAGTTATGTGTCAAATACGCTCTTTTTATCTTCAACTTCGTCTTCTGGGTGAGTGAACCTTCAGATATCTTTAGTTTTTAACAGTTCCTGTAAAAATATAGGATTATTTTCCAGTAAAACATCAGAATGTTTCAGTTTAAAAAGTAAAAACATCAGTACTTGTTGAACAAGCAGCTCTTTATTAAATGATGTGTTCTTTGGACTCGTTTCTCCTCTGCACCGAGGAGGAGGTGTTGATCAACACTTCTCTTTTCATTTTATCTGTTCGATGACTCTCAGCTACCACCACACATGATAACGGCTCAGGATGTKTAATAATTACACTCAGTCAGCTGCTGTGGCTATCTTCATTCTGTTTTTGACACAGAGTTCCCCTCCCGTCTGTCCAGTGGTTCAGGACAGATTTAGCTGACAGACAAAGTTGAAATAATGTAAAAAATCTTAAGCAGAGATGTTGGATGATCTGTTCAGACTGGCTGTCAGGGACGACTCTCGGCTACTACCACTAAATGTTAACACATATTTAGTCAAAATTACTGTGACGTAGCCATTTTAGCTAAAATTATCAGAACAGGAGCTAAATAATGAAGGCTGCCGCTATGAGCAGATCAGTGACTAAAATGACYGAAWCWGGAGCTAAAATGACCAGAAAAGGAGCTAAAACGATGAGAACAGGAACTAAAATGACCAGAAAAGGAGCTAAAATTATCAGAACAGGAGCTAAAATGACCAGAACAGTAGCTAAATGATGAGAACAGCAGCTAGAATGAGCAGAACTGTAGCTAGATGACAAGAATAGTAGCTAAAATTACAAGAAAAAAGCTTAAATTACAAGAACAGTAGCTAAGTGATGAGAACAGCAGCTAGAATGAGCAGAACTGTAG